GCGGACAACTGGTTCGCTGGGAGGTCACGACCAAGAACGAGCGCTCCATGACGCCACAGATGCCGAGTAGAAAAGAAAACCTTGCTTCTTGCAGTAAGCTGGCGGACAACTTTTGTATGTACAAGACAGGCGAAATCTAGAACATATGTTGCCAAGGTATGGTTGATCTATCTCGAAGGATGGATTTGGAAAATTCTGAGCCATGCAGGCGGGGTCAATGAAGAAGCAACACCCTAGCTGACAATCACCATGTTTGGTCACCTGCAGGTTCTGTTGTTTGGAATCTCAATGTGCACCGGCCAATGATTGAAGAACATACATACGTATACTCGACATATCATATCGCCTTATCTCCATATGTATCACATTCGATGTCGCCGTTGCCTCAAGTGACCGGTGTTGTATATAAAAGCCGGACTGTGGATGGCCGGCGCCGGTGTGCCTCGATGGCAAGCATGAGAGGCAAACCCAATGACCGTCGGCCGGTGACCGGTTACTGTGGCGGGCATTGACCGCCGGTGGCCGTGCCCGGTGGCCAGTGGCAGTGGCCCGTGGCCGTTGGCCGGTGGCCGGTGGCTGTTGGCCGGTGGCCATTGGCCCGTGGCCCGGTGGCCGGTGGCCGGTGGCCGTTGGCCGGTGGCCGGTGGCCGTTGGCCGGTGGCCGTTGGCCGGTGGCCGGCGGCCGGTGGCCGGATGGCCGGTGGTTGGCCGGTGGCCGATGGCCGTTGGCCGCTGGCCGTTGGCTTGTGGCCGGCTGCCGGTGGCCGGTGGCCGGCGACATAAAATGACTATAGTGCCTACTAGCGATGGCCTCCAACCTACGAGCGATGGCCTCCAACCTACTAGTGATGGCCTCCAACCTAAGAGCGATGGCCTCCAACCTACTAGCGATGGCCTCCAACCTAAGAGAGATGGCCTCCAACCTACCTTCCAACCTAAGCGATGGCCTCCAACCTACTCGCGATGGCCTCCAACCTACTAGCGATGGCCTCCAACCTAAAAGCGATGGCCTCAAACCTACTAGCGATGGCCTCCAACCTACTAGCGATGGCCTCCAACCTACTAGCGATGGCCCCCAACCCAAGAGCGATGGCCCCCAACCTACTAGCGATGGCCTCCAACCTAAGAGCGATGGCCGGCAACCTACTATAGCGATGGCCTCCAACCTACTAGCGATGGCCTCCAACCTACTAGCGATGGCCTCCAACCTACGGTGGCCTCCAACCTACTAACGATGGCCTCCAACCCAAGAGCGATGGCCTCAAACCTACTAGCGATGGCCTCCAACCTACTTGCGATGGCCTCCAACCTACCTAAGCCTCCAACCTAAGAGCAGTGGCCTCCAACCTACTAACGATGGCCTCCAACCTAAGAGCGATGGC